ATGTGAAAACTCGAGATAAAGCTAGTGGTAGCGTCGTGAAATTGACATCGACATGAACATATACACACATCAAGTATCATGTCATCATGTCAAACGGTTATATTTTTATTTTATGCATTTGGCGTCGCGACGCTACCGCGTCGCTTGATACTTTTATATTTTCGCATGTAATGAAACTAAATCATTACATCTTTTTTAAAAGTCAGCTACACTGAAATATCTTTTTTTAACTTGTAAACATAACAGTAACATTACTTTATTCGTTCTTGATAAACTTAAGGTTTATAATTATTTCTAATAACAGAATTAAAAAGCCAATACGAGCTAACATAAGTTATCAGTGTGCAATTATAATTTATTCATATAGAATATTAAACGTAGACGTTTTAACCTTTATTTGAGATCCTCTCTCTCTCTCTCTCTCTCTCTCTCTCTCTCTGTCTCTCTCAATACAAAAAAATATAAATTAAATACTCTTATAATAAAAGCGCAACGTAACAATAAAGCAGTGGTGATAATGTTCAAAGTGATGTCACATCTTGTTCATTAAAATGATAAATTTACTGAAATATAGTGAAAAAAAGAACAAACAATATAGTAAAAGAATTGATAGTTACCCGATGAGAACACATATGTAGTATCCACATGGAATCTACGTGTTTTACGTGGACTACGTGGATTAAAAATTTATTTACATAATATCCACATGGATTCTACGTAGACACTTCCATATAGATTTCAATACGTATAATCCACGTGGATTGCATAGAGTAATATCGATGTTAATTTATCCACGTGAATTCAACGTTACTATTTCCTATTTTTATTCCCGTTAAATTTCATCAGTAATTCCACATGGATTATACGTATTGAAATCTATATGGAAGTGTCTACGTAGAATCCACGTATTTATCAATGCATTTACCACAATATAACTTTTAATGCATAAACAATTTATAAATATTTTGATCTATATACATATATATATACCCGTGTGGAAATTTCCCTATCTTTTCTTTGTTGTATTCCTATGAGATTTCCCTAAAAAAAGGAACACTAAAGGGATTCTATTCCGTTTTCCTAAAACATACACTATATCATATAAACACATAAACCATTTGTTTCTAATATTTCCATTGAACAGATATATCACAATTATATAGACGTTAACATACAGATTCGTGGGTCATCGAAGTACAGCAGTTCCCTTACGATTGTCAAAGTCAAGCAGCAAGGTTCGTGGTACAACTTCGGATGAGTGACATCATGAAAAAAAATTTAACTCTCGAATTTAGAGGAAAATTTTTTTTTCACGATTTTATTCTAAGACTTCTACACGGGTATATTATAGTATAGTGTCACTATTACGAATTTATTATTGCATTATTATTGCACTAGTAGTGGATATTACAAGGAATATCGATTCGATTTCCACGTGGATTTTGGTACCGTTTTTGAGTAGACTGTCACTCGATCGTTTACGTAGAATCTACGTGCTAACCCACGTTGAATCTACGTCGAATCTACGTATGTGTTCTCATCGGGTATATCTAATACAAATACGAAACCTATAAAACTCTAGCTTGGAACTTTTAATAGCTTACATATAAACTACTGCAGTACTATCACGAATTAAATTAAATTAATAATTAACTAATATACGTAGTCCCCCCCAAATTGCGCGCCGAACAATCATCGGTCTTGAAACGCAACTTTAATAATCTGAAAATACTAAATCTGGAAAATTATTCTTATTGCGAAAAATATTACCTCGGCCGGGAGTCGAACCCGGAGATACCTTGCTTTACGCGCAAGTGTCCTAGAGAACATCGACGATTGTTCGGCACGCAATTTGAAGGGACTACGTATATTAGTTAATTATTAATTTAATTTAATTCGTGATAGTACCGCGGTAGTTTATATGTAAGAGATTAAAAGTTCCAAGCTAGACTGTTATAGGCTTCATATTTGTATTAGTTATGTTCTTACATTAACGGTCTTTAGTATTAAATATTGATATACATATATGAAAAAGTATCTATTTAAAAAGATAAAAAGACTCACATAAATGACAAGATTTGACTGTTGAAATGTAATTAATGTACAGATTCCATTGAACTGCTCAGTTTACTATTCAAGTGCAAATTGTAAATCTATTAGTACAAAGTAATAAATTTTAATAAACGGGAATGAGTTAAACTTACATGAAATAGTGTAGACTGTAGAATATCATATAAGACATTTATTGTACAGAAACAAAACGTGAAATAAAATAAAAGAAACTGAGAACAGTGGAAAATATAACGCAATGTCATATATGTAAATAATAACCAACAAATCAAAAATAAAACGTAATAATATAGAATAGAAGCGCATCACATATCAGAAAACAAACTTATGTACAAAGGATCGAGAGACTGTGTATCTTTCTATACATTCAATGCTTTCTTTTGTTTCTTAATACTTATCATTTCTGATATCAATCTTTTATTTAAAATTTATTACTTTGTACTAATAGATTTACAATTTGCACTTGCATAGTAAACTGAGCAGTTCAATGGAATCTGTACGTTAATTACATTTTAACAGTCAAATCTTGTGATTCATATGTAAACCTTTCTATTTTTTTAAATACATACTTTTTCAACATATAACTATCAATTCTTTTAACTATTTTGTTTATTCTTTTTTTTTACTATATTTCAGTAAATTTATCATTTTAATGAACAAGATGTGACATCACTTTGGACATTACTACCACTGCTTTATTATTACGTTGCGCTTTTTATTGATATTTAATTTATATTTTTTTGTACTGAGAGAGAGAGAGCATGACCTCAAACAAAGATCGAAACGTCTACGCTTAATGTTCTATGTGAATAAATTGTAATTGCACACTGATAACTTGTGTCGACTGTAATTGACTTTTTAATTTTGTTAGTCGATTTAATCATTAGAGCCTATGTTCATTCGAATTTTTTTTTATAATTATTATTATATAAAAAAAATTATTATATAAAAAAAGAAGTATAGTTTATAATATTAAAGAATAATGTAATTCTTTAAATTTAATCCTAATAAATAATAAAATAGCTAATAATATAAGCAATATCAAACATTATACAGAAAAAAAATTTAATCAGGAGACGCGGTAGTGTCTCCGGCCATGTTCAAAAACTGAAAGACACTACAAGTCTCTTATCCCGAGCCACTAAAGTCCATTCTTCGGGGGTGCATAACTACTAAAATATAAAAAATTTTGAATATGTCCTAAAAGGCGGTATCCCCACGAGTAATTTAAGCCAAAAAAATTTAAAATCAGTCAAGCCGTTTTGGAGATACAAGCGGTCGAAAAGTGATGATTATAATGAAAAATTAAGAAACGTCTCCTTCTTCTTCTTCTCTGTCCGCATTCAATGCCGTATTAAAACTTTCTAACATTCCTTCTCACCTTTCACTCATACCTTCACCATCTTCGACCATCGCACCCCCTCCCTCTCTCCCCACCACCCTCTCTTTCGTTATATAATATTTTTAAATTATTTTTTTTTATATTTGTGATATATTGTACTCTAAAAAGTAAGTGATGTCCGAAAAAAATCATATAAAAATGAAAAGTTCAAGCCATGTTCAAAAAAGGATACTCAAAAATTTAAACCTTTTTATCTAATAATAATATATTACCTGAAAAGTAATTAACTGATATGTTATTAACTAAAGGTGCCAGTACAAAGTAAACATACATAAAGTGTATATAACTTTCGGCCGTTTTTTGAATCGCCTCCGCCTTCCGCTGTCCCACTCACCTCACCTCACCGCGCGCGGTCTAAATGTCGCTCGAGCGTCGTGCGGCATTTAAACCGCGCGTAGTGAGGTGAGGGGAATAACGGAAGGCGGAGGCAATTCGAAAATCGGCCGAAAGTTACATACACTTTATGTATTTTCATTTTGTACTGGCACCTTTATTAATAATATGTCAGTTACTTTTCATGGTAATATATTATTATTAGATAAAAAGGTAAATGTTTTAGTATCCCCCCCCTTTTTCGAACATCGCTTGAACTTTTCAGAATGTTATGTCCTACGTATTTGTTTCATAAAATCGTTGCAAAAATTATCTAGTCTAATAAGCAAAATTACTTGATTCGTGATTTTTGAAAATCTGCATTGGTCGCGTAAACGTCTAGATAAGAGGTTGGCAGGCCTGTCTGAACTGTGTAAAAGTAATTTTGTGTGTGTGCCCGGCGAGTTATATTTAAACACGAACAATATACTTTATGTGAAAAACTCGATTGCAGTCGCGCCGTGAAGCATAAAATGGAACTTTCGATGCGCTGCGAAGTACGGTAGACTTGTTACAGAGGTACTTCGTTAGCACTTTCTCGTCTTCTCAAAATTGTCGGGTATAACAAAAGTGGAGGCACTCATATATATTATTTTATACGCATCCGTTTTATCTTTAACGAATTAATTAACAGATTTTATTACGGAGACTTTTTTTTATAGATTCAATGGTTGTTTAATGAGCGGCCGGTTCATGGGAAAGATTTTCTAGTTTCCATTAGCGGAAATCGACAAGTTTTAACAATTCCTGTGGTCAGAGATGCACTCGTCGGTACTATCACTTGCGTAGCAGAGAACGCTGCTGGTAGAGCGGTTTGTAGTGCTAGAATTGAAATTGGTAAGTAATATATTATACACTTTTATTTCGTATTTTATTTGTTCTTGTTATTGACAATTTATTTTATAATGTTATGACATGAGTTTTTATTTTTTACTTTTTTTTTTTTGTAAAATGCTGAAAATAATATTAGAAAATGCAATGGTGTCACAAGTTATTAATATTCGCATTACCCAGTCTAATGTGGCTCATTTAAAATTCCCAACCAACAATAAATAATATAGCCGTTTAATGAGAGAACCAAACAAAGATACACGTGAGCATAGTTTGAAATTTATTAATTTCATTTATGCTTTGAATTAAATACTATTATTGAATATGATTTATACTGCGTCTATGTATATTATGTTGCATTTATAGCATGACCTGAATATATACAACAGGAACTTCTGTCTCTTTCTTTCTCTCTCTCTCTCTCTCTCTGTCTACTTGTATGCTCGCAAAACATTAAATTTAAATAGTGTAAAAATGGATAAAATAAAGATTCTAAAATCATATATTTTCTATAAAAAAATTTAAGAGTATTTCACAGACAAGTTATTCTTTTTTCTTCATCCATTTTTTCCACTTCTGTCTCCCTCTCTTTTTTTCCTTTCTTCCATTTTAAACAAACAGAAACCATGTTATTTTTATCAAATAATCGGCGCAGTCTGGCCTAAAAAGTACAAATAATACAGTTTCATAACAGTATCGTTTCCGTCAATATTTTGTTTTAATAATTTTTTGATACGTGCACTTACTATTTTTATAATTAAAATAAGATTGTTGATACTAAATTAAATCTAGTTATTTAATTTTTCAATATATCGATTTATATCAATACAGAATTAGAATATTTTATTCAACCACGTTTATTATATAATACATTTAAAAATAAAAATATTTTCTTTAATTTAATAATATACAGTCTTAGGATTTCTTATTTATTTTTATATGTAACATAACTGGCTCTTAGTCCTTCAAGTGCCTATTTTGTTTTATATCTTAATATTCTTTTTATATATTTATGTAACATAACTGACTTTTAGCCCTTCAAATATCTATTTTGTTTTGTACTTACAGAGACTTATTATTATTTATTATTAGATATAAGTATGTGTACAAAAGGTCTAAAATAATTTTGCATATCAGATATCGACATACACATGTGCATCATTAAAGTATAGAATGACAACGATAAATTGGGTCTTGGTTTATATATTGCAACCGAGTGCTCGAATCACCTATTACTAGGTGAACGATACTATTTCTGTCGTAGATCGGAGGCAAAGTATTTCGTTACTTCGCTGGGAGCATTTCAACCGCGCGGTTTGTACGCTCCAGTACTCTTTTGACTTCTTTATATCTTATATTTACAAAGAATGTATATTATGTTAATTAAAATAAAATATAATTGGATATATTTACGTGAAAATGATTTTCACATAATGTAATTTCTTTTTATTTATTTGTTAAGTTTGACAATTATTATCCACATAATTATTAGATAAAAACACTCAAATAAATTATGATTGTAATAATAATAATAATGCCGGTTATTATAAAAAAATTAATCGTCCTTTTTGGTTTAGAGAAATAAATAAAATGTATCGTTTTTTTTATTTTTTCATAATTATAGATTGAAATATTGGTTGTATATTTCTTAAAGTGTACAATATTGTATTATTATCATATATCAAAAAATGTAATCATTTTATTATCATAACTGGATTATCTTTCAGATAGTGGATCAGTGAAACCAGATACAAGTGAAACAAAAAAAGTGTTCGAGTTAATTCCATATTCTCCTACGAGCATTATGCATCCTGCAAGCAGTAGCGATAAACACTTTTTAAGTGAGAAAACATATGACGAAGGTGGTAGTGAGAGTCAGATACTGACCAAAATGTCGTCGACTGTTACACATTCTTCAACAACGTCCATGAAAAAGGAATTCTTATCGTCGACTATGACTTCGACTTTATCACAATCTGGACACGAACCTAGTGTTTGTATGAAAACAATTATGCAAAGTTCTGAACAGTCCACTTCAAAAGACGGAGCACCACCTGTTGTACAGGTAAATATATTTATTATACTTGTTCTTTATGCATTATACTGTGCTTTTGTGTATGAAAAGAATAACTTTGGTTTCTTTATTTTTACACCGACATTAAACAATTTATTAAGACCATATAATGTAACCATACAAGTGAGAGATATAGCCTGTAACGGTCAAAGTTAGATATTAAATGAAATTTCCATGTGAATTTATACACTACATATAGTCATTTGAACTGAGCGCCAAATTGATTTTCGGATTTAGAGAATTTTTACACCAAATATTGATCGCGTATAAATATTGTATCGCTCAATGAAAAATATTATTTTCAAGTCTCACAAGATCGAAGAATATGAAAAAATCGTACAAGAGCAGCCTGGCGAGATAGGACAAAAGAAGACCGTTCTCGTGTGCGAAGATACAGAAGGTGTAAAGCACGATGTTAAAACAAATCAAATTCAAAGACCATCTAGGAAATTGACAGCACCCAGGTTTATTTCGCCAATTACAGGAATGATTGTCGATCAAGGAACTGATGTAGTTCTTGAAGGTATTATTGATGGTAAGTGCGCAGTGTTTACATTATATTTAAATCATGCAATTTATATTTGAAAATTGAAACTTTTTAAATATATTTATAGTTACTTTTTTTTCATTGTTTCGATGTTTTTAATTTATTTTAGGTTTTCCACAATCGATAATTCTCTGGTCGAAGAACGGTGAAAAGTTGACGTTAAAAGATAACATAAAAATTAGTTATGCTCATAATCATGTAAAATTGGAACTGAAGGATGTCAGTGCGAAAGATGCTGGACGATATACCTGTACAGTGAGTAACGACGTTGGAACTACTAATAGCACGGCTGATTTGGTCGTTAAAAGTAAGTGGCATACATATATAAATTAATCAAGGAAGATTGTACAAAATTTATACAATTTATAAGAATTCAGTACTCAATAAATTTACTATATAATTTTAGAAACAATATTTCCCCCGGTTTTCGGCAAGCGTCTCAAAGCTCAAGTAGTAAAAAAAGGAGATCGTATTATTATGGAAGTAGAAATTACTGGTATTCCTGAACCAATAGTTAGTTGGTATAAAAACGATGTTCCGATCAATGAACAACCACAAAAATTAAGATTTATTCAACAAGGAAATTGTTACACGTTGGTTATAGACAATGGTATATATCTACAAATTCTTATTATATGGTTGAATAAGTTTATATAAACTGTTCTATCATTTTATAATTAATAATTATAAATATTCAAAAAATTCATTATTTTGTATATATATTGGGAGTGTGCAATTTTGAGGAATTTTTTGGTAAAAATACGGTTTTATTTGTAAAAAAAATAGTTACAATTTTATGATTCAAAATATTATCCATCGCTAGCCACTACTTTTTCCCATCTTTCTAGTATTTGGATTCCATGTTGAAAGAACGACATATCTCTTGAGGTTATCCACCAATCGACCCATTTGTTGGTATCTTCATAAGAATGGAAGCGCTGCTCAGACAGGCCATGAGTCATCGTTCGAAATAGATGGTAATTGGAAGGAGCAATATCTGGAGAATACGGCGGGTGTGATAGAACATCCCAGTTAATTGCTTCTACGTTTCTTTGACCGGTTTCGCAACATGTGATCGAGTGTTGACGTGCTGGAAAATCACTTTGTCGTGTCTTTTCGCGTAATCTGATCGTTTTTGCTTCTGTGCTCGGCTCAGTTGCATCAATTGTTGTTGATAGCGTTTCCCCAATGGTTTCATTGGATTGGAGCAGCTTATAATACACTACACCCAGCTGATCCCACCAAATACAGAATATGAGCTTGGCGCTATGAATATTCGGCTTTACCGTTGATGTTGATGGTTCGCCTGGCATGAATTTTACGCTTCGGATTATCATAGCGTATCTATTTTTCATTACCTGTCACGGTGTAATGCAAAAAACTCTTTCTTTGTGTCTTTGAAGCAACAATTCACAGGTTATTTTACGCTTTTTGACGTCCCTAAACTTGTACGGCATCCAATTTCCTTGCTTTTGAATCATTCCAATGACCTTCAAACATCTGGAAATCGTTGATCGATCAACATTTAATGAATCTGCAAGTTCTTCTTGCATTCGATTCGGGTCTTCATCCAGTAAAGTTTCCACTTCATCATCTTCCAACTTTTTCGGCTGGACTGAACGTTCCTTGTCTTCTGAGTCAAAATCAACTTTTTTTATAGCGTCGAAACCAGTATTCACATGTTGAAATCGATGGAGTGTAATCATCATAAGCTTCCGACAGTATTCGTTGACTTTCAGCAGTATTTTTCTTCAAATGGAAGCAAAAAAGCAAAGCTTCTCGCAAATTGCGTTTTGTTGGCACAAAATTCGACATATTCAATGCCCAAAAAAAACAATGTTGTTTACACTTCAAAATGACACGTACTGAAAACTAAAGCAACATGATGGTACTTTGTCATGAAGGTAGTAACAATATGGCCCGATGCGATATAGTACTAGTTACACTATCTCTTAAAAATTCTTTAAAATTAATGCACACTCCTAATATATATGTGTGTGTGTATATATATATATATATATATATACAGGGAATGGAAGTAACTCGTTACTTGTAACGAAGTTACAGTTACAAGTTACTTTTTTGGTAACTTTACTGGTAACTGCGTTACTTTCTTTTTTTGGTAACTGTAACGGTAACGAGTTACATTTTTTGGGTAACGGTAACGAAATTTACAGTTACTTTTGTCGTTACTTTGCACACGATTGAATACGGTTCGATTGGATACATGCTATTTATAGCGCTTATCAATAAGACTTGAAAGCCCTTAGACATTCGGCCGTTATGATTCAGTAATTATTTTACACTTCTATCTTCTATGTAATACATAGAAGTAACGAAAAGTTATTTTTCAAGTAACGGTAACTGTAACGAGTTACTTTTAAAAAGCGATAACTGTAACTGTAACTAGTTACATTTTTTACTCGGTAACGAGTAACTGTAACTAGTTATTTTTAAAAAGTAACTTTCCATTCCCTGTATATATATATAAAACAGCCAAAGAAGAAAATGCCGGTAAATACATGGTAAGAGCGACGAATGCCGGTGGCGAGGCGCAGAGTATCGCTGATATTGCGGTTTTTGAACCAAAGCCTGATACTATGGTCGAGGTACATAAAACTGTTATTTATGAAAACATTCAGGATAAAAATATCGTTCAGGTAACTTATTTTTAATATAAACAAAAATAATATTTCTATAATAATAACGTAAAGCAATGAAATAAAATTTAATGCTTTGAATCAATAGTATTTACTGTTTCTAAACGTTTCTAAAATTACATACTTATACTTAGTCTGAAGAAAAAAAAGAAGAGATATCGTCAGGTACTTCAACGAACGAACAAATGCCAACAACAGCATTAGTTGAATTATCCAAGCCTATTATGACAACAACTACAATTGATACTGTACAAAAAATCACCGAACCAGAAATAAAGACTAGTAAATCGGAAACAATTTCATCTATGATCGAATCTCATGAAACCGAAACGAAGTCAGAACAGAAGTTCCATATGAAACTTGAACATAAAACTCCATTTATTGTGAAGTCCAAACCTCGAATCGAGCAAACGACTGCAACAAAGAAAATCGATCGTGATAACGAAAATGTTACGAAACCATTAATAAAAACAGAGGAAAAATCAACGATTAATAACGAAAACATAGAAACTTCTACGATTATAAAAAAAGATGCATTGAATTTCTTTGAGTCTATTACGAAGGATAGTGAGATAATGCCAAAAGGATCAAAGGAAATTATTAAGCCAACGGAAGAAGGACAAATTCAAGAAGCAAAAGTTGGAAAATTAACAAAGAATTATGAGCAAGCAACTATTTATCAGGAAACGAAGAAACCGGAGATAAGATTGTCCGACTTACAAACAATAAAGAAGGTCGCTCAGGACATTTTTATCAAATTAGAACAGGGATCATCATCTCGCGGAGTGGAAAACAAACTATTTGAATTTCCATACGAGAGTCCTAAATTGCCCTCAATGGAGGTAAAAAAAAGTGTAGAGGAAAAAACATTTTTCGATTCACAATTACAAAATCAGACGAAGGATTCTAAAATGATAAAAAGTTTTGATCTTGTGCCGGAACCACCTCCCGAAATATGCTATATGCCAAAACCAGAAGAAAAAAAAAAACGACCTGATCTATTTGTTAAGGCAAAACAGCTTCAAGAATCTTTTGATAAAACATCTCCACTAGATGCTCCAATCGGAGGTGTAAAGATCTTTCCTATGTCTACTTCAAAAGTAACAGAACCTGGCAAAGCTGCTGAACCTGTTCTCGCAGTTACAATCCTATCACCCTTTGAACTCGAACAGAAAAAAGAAACATTTGAAGAGACATGCATACAAAAGAAAGATACGTACGAGAAAAAGGAATGCAAATATTTTAAAGAAGAAACAATGGAACCATGGTGTGCTTCGACGTCTATATTGAGAAGTATTTCTCCTATCAGACCGTGGTCATCATCATCGGATGTGGAAACCAAATCGCACGTGTCTACGGATTTATCAGAATACAGATGTCATTCAGCTGCTTCTAGTCAGCAAGAAATTTTGAGATCTACATCACCGAAACCATCTGCGGATGCATTGGCGATGGAAAAATTTTGGGTGAAACAATGTGTAGATTCAAATAGAAAATTATGGCCATCACAAATCCAATCTACTCAAAAATACGAATGGTATGTTCCTATTGAGGAATACAAAAGCTCTTCGAAAGAATTTCAGCAGAAAATTGAGGAAACACCGCAAAGCACAATAAAGAAAATTAGTACGGAATCGTCTGCTAATGTAGAGAAACAATGGTGTACCAAAGAAAAGTTCACTGAAAAAATAATAGAAGCATCTCCATCTACGAAATTGGATCCAATAATTTATAATGCTGAAACAATTAAAGTTGATCATACTCTAAATACTGTACAAGAGAAGGTGTTTGAAAGTACATCACATAAATGTAATATGAAAAATGCTGAAACAACACAGAAATTTAAAGATTTTAGTTTGAAACGTTGGACAGAAGACAAAGAGTTAAAAGCACCTAGTTTGGTAAAGAGAGTCGAACCAGCTACGAAACCGCTTGCGACATCACATCGTCTTACGGAGATAGAAATAGACTCCGTCGCTACCAAGCCAGAATCTCCTCCGGAAATTGGATATATATCACCATCTTTTACAAAAGAAAAAACTAGATTAGAGCATACCATGACAGTAAAAGAAAGAGTAAAGGACCCACCCATACTCCCGCCGAGAGATATATGCATTACACCACCGCATATTCCAGCCAAAAAATCTGTCAAACTCTCGACACCACTTCCGTCAAAGTTCATTAAAGGTTCCTTTAGCCATGAAAGTGATTACGAGTTCGATTTTGATAGTCGTCCAAGAGCAAAATGGAGGCCTTATGAAAGCGACAATGAAGAACCACATTATCGAAGAGTTAAAGCACCTATTCCGAAGCAGCCGATGAGGTCAAGGTCTACCGAACCCGAGCCACTTCCGCCTTCTAAATTTGAGATTCCTGCACAATTTACAGGACCATCATCACTCATTACTACAGAATCTTTCGAAAAAACAGCAAGAAAAATATTTAAATATGAAACAGAACTCAAACAACAACAGCAAAACTCAATTTCTTTGAAACCTGGTTCTCCACCAATTTACGTACAGCCAAGTACAAAGAGTTTGGTGTCAAAATCTTCTATTAAAAAGCCGGAATCCCCAAAGTTTAAAACAAATATTCTTCAGCGAGAAAGCGGTTATATGGCAGACACTGATGAGCCATTTCAGCAGAAGGCTTCATCTATGACTAAGCAAAAATTTTTTGGCAAACACAACGGACCCTCTACAATAGTTCATACTGAGAGTTGTACTACGTGTACTGAAAGTAAAATAAAATCCTTTGGAAGTCATAGTTATAAAATTGATAATTTGAAAAAAGAAGAATTTTCCGTTTTGCCATCTATTTGTAACGCACAGTTGACTCCCAAAGCTGTTCAACAACAATGTAGCTCGTTGGAAAAGAGCTACGAAGCAGCAGCTGACAGTAGTCTGCGCAGATTCGAATCCATAAAGGTTCGATATTTGATGCGTATCCGTGTGCCATTTCAAATGTTATTTTTTAATGCTTGCTTAAGAAATAAATTAATAAATATCATGAAAAATTTTGTAGATTTTAATATTTTAATATTTTAACTGTCGGGGATTGTATAATATTAATAAATGTGTGAATGCCACTTTTGCTTTTTGTAGCGCTATGTACAAGTGCATTAAATCAGTAGTCTTAAAAATATATTATTTGCAGAAAACGGGATATTCCCTAAACCAATTACATAGAAAATGGGTACCAGCAGAACAAATTATGTTGATCTCTCCGAGTCCTTTGAAATCAGTGAAAGGTGATTTCCGTGAAAGTGATTACGAGAATAATGATAACAAAATAATATCATGCCATACAGTTAGCTCCACTAACGTTACAGATTCAGGTATTACTTATTGAAATTAACATTTAAATTGAATTACTTTACTAATCATATAAAATTATTACGTGATCATTATACTTATTGCGAAGTAATATTGCGAAGAATATTACTACGTCGACCCGCCATCAGAGGTCTATCGATATTCGCAAATTCTCGCAAGTGCTGAGACACGCGTATATCTCTTTATATAGAATCTCGATTTAATAACTTACACCGGCGTCTAAGGTAGGCTTCCACTACAATACCTTACTGATGAGTCCAGTAGTGGAAGCCGGGACGAAACGCCAAACATTACGTGATATTCTTCGCAATATAGAATATTAGAATATATTATCAGATTTAGATTGACTCTTATTCGCCATTCTCAACGTATTAATTATTCATTATACTTATGTCATTATAGCATTGATTACAAATTATATATTTATGTTAGAATATGTAACACAATAAAAATCATTTTGTTACAAATATAGTAAGTAATATAAAAAGAAAACGAAAAAAAAGATAATGATATTTTTAATGATAGTAACATAAATATAATATATAACACATATATAAATAATCATTGTCTTGTGGTATAATTAGATTACTGTTTTATAATCCGAATTACAATTTTAAATAGAAAATAATTAGAAGCTATATCTTTAACAAATAAATGTTTAATTTTGTTTTTATTTTTTAACTAATAATGTATAGTTTTTTTAGAGCTTTATCTAAGCATAAGTTTTCTATCTATGGTAGCTTACCTTGCATGCTATTTCTTTTAGTTAGAAGTGGTTATTAAGTTTCGTTTTTTTATAATCGCCATAACTTATTTTTGTATAATATAATAAGGGATATAGCGGAATAAGCATGTAAAATCAGCCCCCATACCGATTGAGCTCAAATAAATATCATTAGTTACTATCCTTGAGATATTAAACTCCCCCAAAAATTAGTTATGAAATTATATTTTTGGAGGAGTTATGCAGAGGGAAAGCAAAATAAGAAAAGTAATTTTTTTTGTAAACCACTGGATCGAATTTAATAAAAAAAATATATGTTATAGACATCGTTTAGGTAAGCCTTAGAAAATTTATTGAAATTTTTTTGACTAAAAGAAAGGTATTAAAAAAATTTTCGAACACTTCATGAATTTTTTTTTTTGGTAATTCTTTTGAGATAAAACTTTTATATTTTCACAAAAACATCTCTAGATTGTCTATTTTAACATGTATTTTTTCCAAATCGATCAAAGAGATGAAACATGGTAAAAACGACAATTTTTCACGCAATGTTGCGTTGGCTGAATAGTCCGCATAATCCCGCCACATTGCGTCGCGATGCTACCCCTCACGGCCATGTCACGACGCCGCTGTGTGAATTAAACGTGTCGACTTAAGAATGGTAATAAAGGACTGTTTCTCGTAAAACGTATAGATGTTTTTTGAGGTATAAACCAAACAGAATCGGTGTTTCCGGTGTGACTTATTATGCATGTGAGTGTGCTAATGGCAGACAAACTATTGTTTACTGCTCACATATTGCTGCAATAATATATTACCTATTTTAGGTGATGGTTTGGATTGGGAGCAGGTAAGGTATGTTATAGCTAACGTAATGACGTCCTGAGAAGAACGGATGATTGCGAACTAGTAGATATATCCCAGTAGGATTATTTGGGGCCGAATCCTGAGGAGGACTCAGCGTTGCTAGTGATTCACCCGGCTGTGATGTCGGTAAAGAAAGTTCCTTTAGTTACCAGGGTCTTTATTTATGTGGCTCAATCCACCCGTTTGCGAAGCGATGTTAGACGCGATAGTCCGATCCTTTGTAGGACCCACGGTCATAGTGATACCGGAGAGTGGCAGAGATCGTTTACAAGATGAAAGGCAGAGTCCCCCGAGTCAACTCCGAAGGGCGGGCTATCTCTAGCGTGTCTTCGGTGTTGGCGCCGGGTACTACCGATCGTAAATGATCGGTGACCACTGACGATTCCTTGGGCTCCTTATTGCAGCTTGTCCTAGTTGTAGGTAGACGGGTAGGCCTGCGAGGTGGACGTCTCAGGTATTCTTCGAGTCTTGATGATCGAGTTGTCCAGCGAACTTTTCTAACTGAGATATTCCTGAAGACTGTTCGACCGCAGAGCGGTCTCCTTATATACCCGCTCCGCGGAATCTCATGTGGAACAGAATGCTAGCGCTCGACGCCCTCTAGGGAACGAGCGCAGCGCGAAGTACCGCTGACTGGCGCCGGTCGCGTGCGTGACGCGTGCGCGGTCTATTCGTAGTGGCGCGAGCTGAATACTTGACCGTCACACCTATCTTATACAAGGTATCTATCGAAAACTCTTAAACCGGCAGAAATACTCAGCAATATATTCGAAAAGATAATTATGTCTCAGTCATATAAAGTGATAGTGAAGATGATCGAAAAGATCCTCTTCAATTAATGTGAGAGGTGAGGGGATTCACATTAAAAAAGCCTGATGTAAACAAATAATCATCCGCGATGTGCGTCAGGGTAATGTCCCATGGAGCGGTTCGTGCGTAAGCGGATTAGCAGATCGCCAATCACAGAATCGTTCTGTTAGATCTGTTTATAAATTTTGCAAGCAAATCTAACAGAACGATTCTGTGATTGGCGATCCGCTAATCCGCTTACGCACGAACGGCTCCATGGGACATTACCCTCATGGTCATCCAGTCGATGCGGCATTGCGTGAAAGATGGTGATTTTTAATGATGTTTCACCCCTTCGATTGATTTGGAAAAAATATATATTAAAAAATAATATGTTAAAGTAGACATTTTAGAGATGTTTTCGTAAAAATATAAAAGTGTTACCTTAAAAGAATTATCAAAAAAATTCATAAAAAGTACGAAATTATTTTTAACATCTCTTTTTAATCATAAAAAATTTTTTTAATTTTTGAAGACTTACCTAAACGATGTTTACAACATATATTTTTTTCATTAAATTTAGTCCAGTCGTTTATGAGAAAACTTACTTTTCTTATTTCGCTTTCCCCCTGCATAACTCCCTCAAAAATGCAATTTTAGAGCTAATTTTTGGGGAAGTTTAATATTTCAAGGATGGCAACTAATGACAATAATTTGAACTCAATCGGTGTGGAGGCCGATTTCACATGTTTATTCCGCTGTATCCTTTGGTAAATATGCGGTACAAGAGACTATCCTTCAATGATCTTGACCTTGAATAAATTTTAGTCGTTGTTAGTTAAAAGTTATTAACAAAAATCTTCATTAATAAAACCTACCTTTTAGACACGAGACTGCACTCCGATGAAACAAATTCCTCACTTTAACGGCGCAAAACATTTTCTTATACATATAATTTTTTATATGATTTTTGTGTCTTTAGCTGAGAATCTGTATTTTTTTAATTTAAAGCATAGATTTTCTGTTTTAAGAGGATCCTAAAGCAACGGGAATGACCAACAATTACAGTGAACCGTTATCTCCGAATTGGCTTTATAGATCATGAAATTTTTTCACATTTGAAAGTACACATCAAAATGATATGGGTAACGCTAAATTTGATAAGAAAATTGGAGAAAAAATGAAAAATTTACTTATTTCAGCTCTTAAAGCTGTCACTTGAGGTTATAATTTACTTATTGTAGAAATTCTGTAGGTCGTATATACCAAATGGTACCTTCGCGCCAAGCATATAATGTGCACAAATAATCCTAAGCTTGCGAAATTGTCATTTAAGGTTTAACAAAAAAGATATTCCAAAATATTTTCATTACGCGTGCACGTAATGTGCCCTATACCTCAACGTTTTTGCGTGCGGGAAATAGCCAATACCTCAAGCCGTTGAGTTATTTCTCTAACCCTATTCTTCTGCACAAAAACGTTTCAGTATAGGCACATTACGACGAGCACTTGTAATGAAAAATTCTATGTGTAGCGAGTGGGGGCATATTTGTTTATAGGTCGGCACGGGCGCGCGTACGCAGTCGCTTCGCTCGTGCGCTCGCGCCCGTCTCTCGCTATAAACAATTATCCCCCACTGTTAGGCGAGAAACACACACTTTTGCATAAAGCATAAAGCATGTGCATTGTCAGGAGTTTGGACTACGTCGTCGTCCAAATTCCTGAAACGATCGAAATATATGTTACAAATATTTCACAATATACAACTTCATTTATGATGTTTGTTAAAATTTATAAAATTACCTTACAATTTAAATAAACAAATCTATCCCGAATCTCACGTTTTTGATTGTCGTGTATGCTTATTTCGTGAAAGATAAAATGTCATGCAAAAATTATATAATTCTCAAAAAATACTAAATAAATTAAATAAACAAAAACATCTTTTTCAAAAGTATTATTTTTATATCTCCACACTGTATGTACATGTAGATTATAGTAAGATTCCACATATAAGCGTACAAATTCTCTGCTCTAAAAACACAAAAATTATATAAAAGATATAAGAAAAAATTTTGCGCTGTTAAAGCAGGGAATTTGTTTCATCGGAGCGTAGTCGTGTCCAAAAGTTTGGTTATTGATGAATATTTTTGTTAATAACTTTTTAACGAATAACGAGAGACGGCTAAAATTTGTTCAAGGTTACTCGGGGCATGACCTTGACAACATATGTCAACGTCAAGGTTATTGGAGGGTAGTTCCTTATACTGCATAACTAATATAAAATTTTTCATAACATGTCTCATATTATTTATTAGGTAGTAAACTTTGTTTCCACGGTTTTTTTGCTTAAAAAACTCATTTACCTCGATATTAAAAGCAAAAAATACGTCTATCAAAGTATTTGCGCTCGCTAGCTATACATTTTTCCCATCTTTCGGGCAATAAGTATATTCCGCGATGATAAAACGATTGGTCTTTTTAAGCAATTCATTCGATACATTTTCGCACATCCTCGTAATTTTTGAAGTGTATAACCACAAAGCTGTGCTGCATCAATCGGAACAAATAATAGTCTGAAGGAGTTAAGTCTGGTGAAAACGCTGTGTGCGGGAGAATTTTCCACTCGAGCTGCATCAGTGTTTTCTTAACGACTTTTGCAACGTGTGGTCGAGCATTGTGCAAAAGCATAACTTTGCATCGATTGCTGGCTACTGCTGGCCTTTTTTTCCTACAATGCTTTATTCAGACCTTTCAGTTGTAATTGATATCAATCCCCCGTGAGAGATACTTTCGTTCGGTTTGAGTAGCTCGTAGTAAATGACGCCTTGCATATCCTAAATGCAGAGCATTGCTTTGTGATCATGGATATTTCGCTTTGGTGCAGATGTTGATCCAGAGGTTGGCCAGAGTTCATCCATGACTTTTTGCGTTTGGGATTGTCAAAATATACCCACTTTTCGTCGCCAGTCACAATGCGCTGCAAAAAATGCTCTTTTTCTGTCTGACGAGCAGAGAAATAGAGATGTTTAAGCGATTTGCAATGGCATTTTCAGTTAAGTCGTGTGGTACCCATTTTCCTTCCTTTTGAATCTTTCCCATTGCATATAGACGTTTGGAAACAGCCATTGAAGTAACGTTTAATATTGCAGACAATTGTTGAAGCGTTTGAATTGAGTTTTCGTTTAATAATGTTTGCAATTCGGCGTCTTCAAACTTTTTCGGTTGACCTGAGCGTTGTTTATCATTCACATCATAATCACCACTTTTAAAACGCTGAAACCATTCTTGACATGTTGTTTCCGATGAAGCATAAATGCCATAAGCTTCGACAAGCAATTTATGAGCTGCAGCTGCAGTTTTTTTTTAAATCAAAGTGATAAAGCAACACATGTCGAAAAAACAACATATCATGTTTCATATTTAATAAAAAAATTATCTTTGTTCGCGCATAAATGAATTTTTTCGCACTGAATTTTGTAGACAAATGTCTAACTTTTAAAATGCAGCGAGTTTCAGATGCCAAAGTATTTAAATTACACCTACAACCGGCGTCATCTAAATGTAAACCGCGGAAACTAAGTTTAGCATCTAATAGTTCATAACCGGTTTCATCATCGTTTCAAGATCGAGAAAAGTCCGATATATTATCAATATTTAATTTATAAAAGTAACATGCAACATGTATTAAGACCGAAATTCATTAAAATTTATTCTTTGGTTTTAATAAGATCTATTCGACGTGTGAAACCGGCCTAGTTCATCTTTCTTTATTACTATACTTTTTCCTCGAGCGATCAAAAAAAGATTTGAAGAAGATCACTGGGATAAACTTTTAATATAGGAAAACCAATGGAACCAAGTTTGTCTCACAAGCAACATACAGTAATTGTACCAATAAAATCGAAAACGGTTCTCCTACCTGGCTCTCCACCAGAAATAGCGTATGCACCATCTCAATTGCAACAACATTTTTACGAAGCACATACAAGCATGCCGTTTACCAATGCGATGGATACAGAGACAAAAAAAATTGTAAGGATGGATGAATCAACGGAGAATTCTAGAAGGGTTGTTGCTGTCGAGCAAACAAGCCGCGTCATTAAATTCGGCGACACAAATGCCACAACTATCCAGGAACAGCAAAGAGCTAATTACTATGTACCTAAACCGAAAAAATTTGTACAAGGACAATTTCGGGAATCTGATTACGAGAGCGATGTAGATTCAAGCAAAATTCGACCCAAATGGGCTCCAGCAGATAGCGATACAGAGGATCCATATTATCGAAAAGTTCAACCACCCACAGGAAAAGGTCCAAGATCTTTGAGTGCACCGACATACAATGTATCGCCGATGGAGTTTGACACTAGTTCTTTGTCGCTGATGCAGATTCACAGAGGAGATATGGACAAAAGGATTAATTTCCAAAAATATCAGCAACATCCAACTTCCGAAAAAATTGACAATATTTTACAACCTGGTACACCGCCTGAATATGGATTTATCTCGAAAAGCGACGTAAAAGAAGCAGCGAATCGTAAGAGCAATATCAATGCTACATAACATTTTTACAATGTTTATAATAAATGTAGGGGAAGGTGGTGTACCTTTTAATCAATTTTGATATTTTTTCTTGTGCAAATTATATTTTTATGTCTAACAATTCCAAAAAGTTCTAAAATATTCTTTGAAATGTTGACAGTAACATACATTCTTTATAGATTTAAATTGTTATCTTTTGTACATCTTTTTTAACATTAGAAAAAAATTGAATTTTGGTCAAAGGTACAACACTCATATTGTACCTCTGACCAGGGAGTGTTGTACCTTTAAATGTATAAATTATATGTATAAAGATCAGATATTCAACAGAAGTTTAGTTTTATTTATATTTTTATATTTTTAATATCTTAAGGTCTCCTTTTCTTCTGATCAAATTCAACGTTTAATATCTCGCTTTACGGAGCCAGAATCATGCTTTTTTTCTGACAAATTCATACATTTTATTTAAAATCGCGACTAATGATCATAATTTTATCAACATTAGAGATGAGATATCTAAACTAAATGATTATCCGACCGTATTGACTGGTCAAAAGGTACATTATCATTTACTGTTAAAGGTACAACGCTTGCTCACTTTTTATTTGTTATTATTTTTATAAATTATAAGTTAAGATTACCGGTATTAAGTTTTAAAAAACTTTTTCTGAATATCTATTTAACATTTTAAGCAATTCCAACATAAGACAAAATGCATATATAACATTTTATGAGATTAAATACCGTATTGAAATTACTTCACTCGAACACTCGAAAACAATAAATTATTTTTTATAGGAGTATAATTCTCTTTATTATTATGATTGTAAATTATAAAATACCTCTGCTCATACTACAAATTACATATTTCTACTTTTATAAATATCCAATAGATTTTTTATTTTAAATGGTTAGAGGTACAACTGGTTAAAAAGGAACACCAGGTTCCCCTATACAGGGTGTCTCAGGAAGAATATTTGTTTTTAAAATAATGTATTCTTGACGTAATTATTTCTAAGACATTTTTTCCTTTATCAAAATTTTATCCGAAGCTTAGTTTTTGAATTATACGAGAAAATAGTTAGCGAATTACGGGTCGCGTATGAAAGGTAGGCAGGTACGGCGCAACTCATCATCCGACGCGGGCGCCCAATTGCGATTAGCTGCTTGCTACATATGAAACGCTTGTCACGACAATATACGCGTAACACTCCTTCTCTTTAACGCGCGCGCTCGCTCTCTCTCTCTCTCTCTCACACACGCACGCACGCACGCACGCACGCACGCACGTAACTTTGTGAAAGTTTTTATACGTAATTAAGCTGAAAAAGACAAAATAATATTATGTTGTAAATTCCGACAAGTTTCTCACAAATCTAATACCGAATAATAATAAATATTTGTCCGTCAAATTAATCGTATGACGTATTATCTTTACTTAAATTCACTCACACGCACATTTAATCGATTTACTAACAAATTTATTAGTTTGCTATTATTAATCATTACCGATTAATTAATTAGCGATTAAGAAGTAATCCAAGAAAGAAACACATTACAGTAATCAATAATCAAAGATTTTCCTCCTTTTATAAATTGTACTGCGTATTATATTACTTTCACGGATTATCCACGCACTTGGTTGATTTTTACATATGAATCTTTTACATATAAATTGATGAATAACTTTCGATTAATCATTCAGTAACTGAAAATTATTGCTTGAAAGAAGGAAACACATTGCACACAGTAATTGTCAAAAGTCTTCTTTCTTTTGTAAATTATATTACGTATCAATACGTTCAACGGTTTATTCAATTTTATAAATCAGTGCTCGGCAAGAGCGATACAACTTTCGGCCGATTCGAAAGTCGATCGAAAGTTGCATCGCGTGCCGAGCCTTGTTATAAGCGAATCTATTAGCTCACTGCTATTAATCACTGCCAATTAATTATTCGGGAAATGAGAAGTACCTCAAACAAAGAAATACTAATTGCACATGTTAATCACGATCAAATTCCATCGCAAATCAATACGGTCACGGATTTATACTTGAACGGAAAATTACGAATTTATTATCCTTATTACAGTTAATCACAATAAAATACTACCTATTAATTATTTGACGAGTTAAAATTACTCAAGTGTGCAATACTACATACATAAATATACAGGTTACTCGACACGGAGATTACTCGATGTCAACAAGTCAACGGGTTAAGTTGGTATTGAGTGCGATCGTGAACGCACACACGACGGTTATTAGGTATCATTTATCCTCGTGGATAAATCTATGAAAATATTGATACGCGATATAATTTATTACATTTATATAAGAATTTTGTTTTGTAATATGCAATCGCGTTAACGAATAATAAAGAATAAATATGTTATTCTAAAATCAATGCGTTAATATTAGACGGTTAGTGAAAGCAGTCTTGGGATTGTTTTGATTTTGAAGGGCGGACGCTAGTCGCACGTCCCCCCCCTCACCCGGTTCACCGATAAACCGAGCAGTCATAAATACATATTAAATAAAATTATTATTTTAAATACACACTACCGACTACTGACCGATATGACGTATATATAAAACTATAGCAGTACTATCACGATTTAAATTGTAATAATATATTACCACGAAAAGTAACTGATTATCAATTAAAGTTGCCATTACAAAGTGAACATACGTAAAGTGTATGTA